GAACAAGAAGGAGGGAGAGAACGAGAACAAGAAGGAGGGAGAGAACGGGAGGGAAGGGGAGAATGATATAGAAAGGGAGAGAACAAGAGATGGGAGCAGGTGAGGGAGAGAACGAGAGGGAGAGCATGCGAGAGAGAGAGCATGCAAGGGAGAGAGCGAAAGCATTAGTTAGAGAGCGAAAGCATGAGAGTGTGTAAGAGAGAGAATTTATATTGACCTAATGTTATTGCAGACAGTCTAAACTCTAAATAAAAAGTTAAATTAATTCATTACTGCATTTCAAGACTGCCAGACATAATAAATAAAAATAATGAAGGAAGTTTGACAGTTTTTTAGATAAAATATTTGAAACTTTTAATTCTTTGGTATCTTCAATGCCAGAATGTCTTCAAAGTGATGTAATGGCAATGTTGCAAAGTGGTCAATACTTTAGTGTCCAAACATGCATTTAATGTTGTGCAAAACTGAAATGCATTTACTTATGTCTTACTGTATGAAGCTGCAATATAAAGCTTTTTTTTTAAAAATTTAAATAGAAATTTAAGCCACATCAGTCAATTATTAACTATTCACGTGCTAAGTTGTTCATGTTTACTCATATAAAAGATGTATATAATTAACCCCGTTCCCTCGGGGCTCACCCTACATCTGAACGGGAATCAATCGCCATCCTTTAAGATCCACTCGGCAATATGGGCACCATTCAACGCTCCAAACAGCAATGGTCCTGAGCTCCTCTGAGAATATGAATGCTGACACCACTCTACAGATCAATAAACAGACTTCCTGAGCCCTTTGTGTGGCAGACAAAACATGCAGCATGCTCCCTGAACTCTTTCGTGTCGATGGCGAATGACCCTGACCCAAATGGGGTCAGCAGATGGTCAATAAGGCTCTGATGCTCAGACTAACAATGCTGTTATTGATCGTAACCCAGCACACGTAACGCTGATCAGACACACTGAAAACAGCTGGCAGAGCTCCGGGGGGTGGCTTTCACTACTTCAGACTGGGTTTCAGAGCATCACTGTTGTCGTTGTGCATTTTCATTGAATATTTTCCTCCTACTTTCAGGTTAAAAATGACAAATGAGGAAATAAAAAGGGCGATACTCGAGATGGACGAGAGAGAGGAGTTGGCCAAAGATATGTTGGAGCAGGTTTGTTTCATGTTAAGCCATGTTAACATAATATGGACAGATTTTTATTTTTAGGCAAGCAAGAATAATTTTAGAACGCTAGCCTCTAAAGATTCTTGAAATAATGAAATATTGCCTGTCTGTGTTGTCTGTGTGTGTATTGTTGTAAATAGTATCAGATATAAGACATCTAATGTAGTTATCCCAAGGTTTTAATGGATATACAGTTGATAAACATTAGTAGTTTGCCACAATTGGTAGTTTAATCTGAATTCAGTTGTAAACATGTTCATTTACGTTCTCGTATCTTTGCAGCTGCTTAAATTTGTCCCAGAGAAAAGTGATATTGATCTTCTGGAAGAGCACAAACATGAGTTGGAGAGGATGGCTCGGGCTGACCGCTTCCTCTTTGAAATGAGCAGGTACAAATGACGCACTCTGCCTCCAGTCATAGCAGAGTTTGCTTTTGTTTTTCTGTTTACATTTTCTGTCCGGTCAAAGCCAGTTAATACTTAAAGTGGATCTTAGTAAATATATATATATATGTATTTTGCTTTGAAATGGTCAGTAAATAAAATAACATGTAATAAAAATCAGCTTCCTCTGGCTCCTCCTAGTGTTTTTAATGTAGAAATGTGTCTGAGTAAACGCAGCCAGAGCCAGCTGGATACTGTAGGTGTTGTGCATTTTTTGTTTTCCATAATGAGGGTAAAGACCTGGAAATATCCAATTGGAGAACAGAAGAGCTCCTAATCTGTATATGTTAAAAGTAGGAGCTTCAAAGCTGCTTTCATGAACTCCTGAAGCACAGGGAAAACAATGTTCCCATATTTTTTTTTTTACCTGCATCTTCTATGTTGCATAGATTCTCATTAATCTGTATTTATGTGAATAAAAATCAGGTCAGGATAGTGAGTGTGATCAGCCTCGTTGGATTTAGTGCAACTTTTTTATTTTTTATTTTTATTGTTTATTTACAGCCCTTATAGTGAATTTATATAGTGGATGTTAGAACTCTAATACAGTTTGTGTATTAAAAATTCTATGATCCAACATCAGAAGAACATTGAAGTTACTGGGTTGCATTGAGTATTTTCGAAACAGCTATGCTTTCAGTGCTGAAGACCTACATTACAGTACTTTAATACATGCAAAAAAGAACTGCATGTTTATAATCCAGAGCCAGGGAAAAACAAACTGGTTTTACAGGTAGAGCGCAAGCACAGCAGAGAGGAATGGACCTTAAAACTGTAAATGACAAACAAAATGTTCAATATGTGTTTTTCTTTAGATTACATTTTTGTAGCTGAAAAGTTTGAAAAGAAAGGGTAAGACTTAAATGTCACACCAGAGTTTGCATGATCCAGTTTAAGAAATATGCAGATCTTGCGTAGATTAAAAACTCTAATCAGGCCTTAAATATTTTATAAGCAGAGTGTGTATCTGTTCAAAAGGAATCATCAAGAACAAACATCAAACTCTTTTGTGATTCATTATTTAGCTAAGAACTGAAATTCTAAATGCCCCAGGAGGCCTGTGGTCCCATTAGTGTGGGGAATTTTTTTTTTTTTAAAACAGAAACCTTTTATTTTTAGTCCATTTTATCCCTAATCGTGCATTCTGCAGGGGTTATTAAATTAAATGTAATCTTGTCCACTGTCATTTTTCTTTGACCACATCTCTCGGGTCTCGGGAATACATCATGGTTTTTTGGGCCATTTAATATCCTTTGACCCTGTTTGAACAGCTCACTCCCTTTTTAGTCAAACACTTCTTTTTGATGAGAGCCCTTTAGATGAATGTGAAACTGTGTAAAGTGAGAGGGAGTTTTGCACAATTGGTTGACTTCTAGCTTTGAAGTTCCGCTCCCCTAAAGACAAATGTAACTTACCCCTCTGTCTCGCTCACCACCTCCTTTTTACCTCTTTGTTTGCCTCATCAGGATCGACCACTACCAGCAGAGACTGCAGGCTCTGTTCTTTAAGAAGAAGTTTGCAGAGCGTTTAGCTGAAACCAAGCCAAAGGTTGAAGGTAAGGACAAACATGAAAGAGCTGGCTTCCTTATAAAATCCATAAATCAGAACAAAGTTTCTGTGGTTGTTTAATATAGGGATAATATTCTGGATATATGTTTGTTATATATGGGCGGCTGTGGCTGAGTGGTTAGAGCAGTCATCCTCCAATGCGAGAGTTGGGGGTTCGAATCCACCAGCAGTCACATGTCGAAGTGTCCCTGGGCAAGACACTGAACCCTTCATAGCCTCTGATGTGTCCCTTCAGTGTATGAATGTGATCTAAAGCACTGATTAGTCTCTTTAGAATGATTTGTTCAATTAGCTTTGTAGTGATCTAGTAGAGTGCTGTATGAATGGGTAAATGAGGACACAGATTGTGGTGTAAAGCGCTTTGAGTGTCTTGAAATAAGATAGAAAGTACAGTCCATTTACCATTTATAATGCCCATATAATCTGAAATCCGCTTGCTTTTTTGCATTTATAAACTCCCCTCGTGAAAATTATGATAAAAACAAATCTATGACAGAACTCTAGATATACTTTAATTATCAAAGTATTGTATTTGTATTTTTATTTTATTTTATATTTTCTTTATATATACCTGGTAGTTGACAAAAGAAAAATTGTAATTTTTTTTATTTTTTATTTATTTATTTTTTTTTACTGAAAAAGAACACATTCGAATTTCTGAAAAGACCTGTCTATTTTTGTGTGACGTATATCGACTGATTTAAGAAACAAAAGAAAATGATAAGAAATGCAGATTTTGTCACTTGCTTTGGTTTTTAATCAATCTTCCACTTTCAAAACAAAAGACAGATAATTTAAAATCCAATGTTTGTTTATTTTATATGAACTTTGGCCTCAGTGCATTATAAGCCATATTAGCCTACCAGCTGCTTCATAGTTCATTTATTGGAAAACTTCATTTAACAACTCCTCATATTTAGCATACTCTTGGGCTTTGGGTTACATACCTAAAGAGTAAACTCTAAAATGTTGAATGGTACTTTACAATAAATAGGAGCTGTCATTTAAACCGATTTTGTTGGGTTTAATTGATGTATTCATCCTTTCTGAACAAAATTTCAGCATGACTGTTCTAAACCAGACCATCAGAATTAGTAACTTCTCCAGCAGAATCGTTTTGATTAAATCTGCTACTGCTGAGCTGATATTTCACCAGTCAGCTGGATCAGGTAAAAACTAGAAATCTTCCAAATGTTGTGCAACTGATGGAAAGTTTGTGTAGCATATATCTAAAACCTGCAGCTGACTTAATTGCATGAGATCATTTTCTACTTCTAAGACATTGGAGGAAGTTGGGATTACAATGGACAGAAATCCATGCAACAAATGATCACCGCTGGTCATTTCTGTGCAGCTTTTTGGTTAATCTCAAATGAGGCTCTTGCTGAAAGTGTGAAGGACAACTATACGGGAACAAACATGAGAATAATGGTTTTTCCAGCATTTTTCAGGAAAAACTATTGTGAAGCAAAAACTGGAAGGTGCTTTAGAAGCCTTGTCTCCATCGTGGCACTTTTACTGACTTCTGTATGTATGCATCATCAGTCCTCTGAAATCAGAATCAGAATACGCTTTATTATCATTGCACCTAAGTACAGTGAGAATATGTTCATGCAGTCGTCCAAAAGATGGGCGGAGTGCACGTTGCTGCTGCTCCTAAGAGCGTGGCCCCTTGTTTTTTTAGATAGAAAAGGGGAAAAGGCCATGAGGAGAGGATAGTGGTATTGCAAAACAGATTTCTTCATACCTTGTCCTTACCAGGACATGATTTAAGACATCAAGAAACTCTACCAGCAAGCACATTTATAGACACGTTACATGTGCATTTGACAACAAGACGGTGAGATTTGTCCATGAAGCACTTCCAGATAGCATCATAGTCCTGTTAAGATATTGATGTCAGCTGCCACAGCTCTGATAAGCATTCACAGAAGTTCTCGGGGGTGGGGGATTTCAGGCAGACTGTTATTTCTTGTCAGCCTTGAGTTCTGCTAGTAGTTTCGATGATCCAAAATGGCCAAATTTGTGAGTATTCCACTGGTCCGTGCTTATTAGCTCCCTCCAAGGTCGTCCCTAACATACTGGCGAGTCCCAGAAGCTGCAAGTGGCCTGCGATTCTCACAAATCATTTCCATTTCATGGTTTAGCTTGTAAATCAGCTGAGTTTGAATGCTCAAAGCACAAACCAAACCTTCGCTTAAGGTCGGCAGCTTTGCCATAGCCAAAACTGCTGCCACCGTCTTCTTTAATAGCCGATAACATAGGTATCTGCCGGTGCCAAAAAGCAGAAACCCTGCTATCATGATTCCAATTATATAAAAGTCTTTGGCATCCTCCTGAGACGATACGGAAAGGCACATCAACTTCCAAACCCTCACGGATCCATGACGTACCCTGCCGCGTGTGTCTCAGCGGGGCATGAGGGTTCTCCAGGATCCTGTCGCTTGGTTGAAAAATTTATCGATTGCGTTGAAAGTTCAGCTGACCAGATCCATGACAGTAGTTTACGATTCAGAAGATGTGTAAATAGAAGCTCTGATGCACAAGACAGAGAACAAAAAAGCAGGAGGAGGACGGGAGAGGAAAGAAAAGCAGCTGTCTTGCTCGAGAGCGAGTGAGGGGAAAAAAAAAAGGGTTGGTGATGTCCCAACAGACATGTTGACAGTCTTTCTAAAATCTGATGTTTAAAAGTATGTATTTTTCTTGTAAACACATTGGATGTATGATTTCAGTTTATCTGAGTGGGTTGTAGAAATAACACAGATGGGATTAAATATGTAGCTATGCTGGTGGCGCAACTTTCCAACAGTTTCCCAGCTTTGAAGAAACGGATTACTTTCTGCAACACACTGGCAGATACATAATTTCACCCTCTGTCATATGTCTGCCTTATTAATCTCCATATAATATGCATATTTAATTATTATTTTTTTTAAATAAAACTAAATCCACAAAGCAAGCAGGACATGAGAAAATTGGAAAACACGTCTTTAGGTTATAGTTAATCTGAATTGCATAGTTACATGTGCATGTATTCATGATGGGCAACTTTAAATTGTTTTTATGTAGTTTCTCTTTCCAGCCAGTATTGAAGTTTCCAGGGAGGCTGTTTTGGAAAGCTGGCTCATGTTGTAATCCCTGAATCTCACTTCAAAGATGGAGGAAAAGGCCATCCAGTGTGGCTTTAAGACATATGTGCGCACACAAACATTAGCTGTCACGACTGAGCTGTCACAGTTTGCTGTTGGAGCCAGACCTGCTGGGCTTTGATGAACACATCACACTACTTTTGTCGGCAGCGTTTTATTCACGGCGAGTGCTGACTGACAGTTCATTTCTGTATGTGCTGCAGATTTTTTTTTATTTTTATTTTGGTCACACGTTCAGTTTATTCTAGCCTGAGGTCAAACTAATGTATTCTGACGTACATTTTATTCACTGCCAGGAAGAAAAAAAGAACCTAATTGCTGTTGTTGAAAGCAAAAATCATCTGACCACACTGCTCATCGATGTAAAGATTTCCTGCTGTTTTGTTATTCATGTTGCTTCATCACGTAATTCAGACGAGCCGTATTTCTGCGGACCACCCAGCATCTTTAATCAAAGCATTTACTTTAAAAACAGTAGTGTCTTGTCAGCACTGCCAGATCGGTTCTCATGCTTTATCACAGCAGAAAGAACTGTAACCATAACATGAAGTTTGTTAATGATTTTCACAGTCACACTGAGGTTTCCTCTGTGGAAACGGGGAACCACCTGCACTCTGCCAGACTCTGTTCTCAGAGGGAATGAAAAGGACAGAGTTGAGCTATGTTTGGGATATTCCCTTTGCCGTGCTGTTTTATTGATGAATGGAAGAAGGTGATGTTTCTGCACCATGCTGCTGGTTGCTGTGGAGAATATTGATCACTCATCGTGAGGGATGTTAAAAATGTAGGAAACTTTACGGCAACACGAGCTGAGGTATGACTTTCTGTGTCCCAGTGGGGTTTGAGTGAAGTAAGAAAGTGGAAGGAAATCTTTTAATTCCAGTTTGTTATGCAACATAAAAGGTTGAACACATGCAGGTTTTGCTGAATGATCTTCCCAGCTGCATCTCTGTCTCCGTTTTCCATCAGCCATCCTGAATGCATCGGTGGAGGTGGTCCGGAGTAAACGTCTGACTCAGGTCCTGGAGGTGGTGCTGGCGTTCGGTAACTTCATGAATAAAGGTCAGAGGGGTAACGCCTACGGATTCAAGGTCTCCAGTCTGAATAAGATTGTCGACACAAAGTCGAGCATTGACAGGTGGGTCAGAGGGGGATCTGGACAAAAATTTAAATTCATCTTTTACTTTTTTTATGGACACACGGATGTCAAACACATTTTACAAGAATCAGTGTCTGCAGTGTGACCTTATGGATACCCAATAATACAACCCTTATAATATTGGGTTTCCATCCTCCCAATCTTTTTTCCAAAATATTTATTTTAACAGTTTTGCTCCAGCATAAACTTTTTTTTAAGTCTGCAGAACCAAGTAATGTTTTTCAACTTTGCTAATGAAGATTTATGCACGTTGGAGTCCAGCATGTGGGAGTTCTCTTGTTTTCAGGAGGAATGAAATGCTGTCTGAACAGTCATGGTTTCCATGGTAACAGGAACTACTGTGGCATGATTTCCCTCAAAGCAAAAGCGCCTCCATGTAAACTGAGAGATGGGCTGAGGCAAGACTCACTTATTTCAGTGCTGTGACCCAATTCCTCTGTATGTTCTGACTTTTAGGCAGGCATTCTGCAGCTAGATGGCAAAAATAGGCAACAATTTCACAAATATGTGTGCTATCGACATGCAGTGCTTCTAAGTGAATAAGTAGTACCGATCTATTCTGATTCATGTCATAGTTGTAATATTCACATTATCTCCCTGAGAACTGAGTTACTATTTGTGGGAGTGTTGCAATAGTAACCTGTCAACAGCACATCCATACAATTACATGTGCCAAAAAAAGTAATTGTAATAATCTAATACACATGTAATTTCTTTTTGAAGTTTTTAGTTTTTATGCATGTATAATTGCAGCTTTGCATTGTGGGAAAATCATTCTGACATAGTTTGCAATTCTTGCATATGTCAACACTTAACAGAAAATTTGCGTTTCAAACAAACAAACAAAAAAATCTACATTATATTTTGTGATATAAAAAGTATTTAAAAATGTTATACTTATTTATAAAATTTTACAAAATAAAGTGTTAAAGCATCTGAAACCAAACAATTTCAGCGTAACTTATTATGAATATATTCTCAAATTTACACCTCAGTTTTGAAATGAATGAATAAAACAACCACAAACTTATAAAGTCAAAACTGATCCAAACAATCCAAGTTTTTAATTAAATATTTGTGGAGTATCACCTGTGTTATTTTAGTTAAATGATGCTTGTGATTTGACAGGAGCATCACCATGCTGCACTACTTGATCATGATCTTTGAGAAGAACTACCCAGACGCGCTGCACATCCAGGAGGACCTCAGGAGCGTGCCTGAAGCCGCCAAAGTCAAGTAAGTGCACAAAATATTACTGTGGAAAAAAATTACAATAATTAATGCATCAGTTTTTGAAAACAAAAACACATCCAGCTGTGCTTTAAAAAAGTATTTGGATACAAAGTATCCAGTGAGTTGGTCTTTTCATTTTCAAAATTCTCTGACTTGCAAATTACTAAATAAATGCTAAGTACAATTATTAAAGATGATCGTTGCTTGCTTTTTTTCCCCCTCAGTTTGTCAGAGTTGGAAAAAGAAGTACACAATATAAAAAGTGGGCTGAAGGCTCTCGAGGCGGTGAGTTTGTGTCACGCTCGTCTTCTGCTGCTGGTTCTTTTCTTGCCTGTAATTATGTTTTCGAGCAGTGCAGAGATGGACAGCAGGGTGACAGGTTTACTGTTGCTCCGTGACGTTGTCGTGCACAATTCAGAAACATTGTGACTTTCACACAGAGCAGAATCATGTATATTGCAGTAAAACAATGATTAAACTCACTTGTCTTTAGTCTGATGTGTGATGTTCTGCTGCCCACCAGGAGCTGCACTACCAGCAGAGCAGGACGAGGGAGCGTGGGGACAAGTTTGTGGCTGTGATCAGTGACTTCATCACTGTGGCTGGATTCAGCTTCTCTGAACTGGAGGACCAGCTGAGTGAAGCCAAGGACAAGGTAATCGTTAAGCGTTCCACTTTTAAACTCAAACCCAACTGAAGTCATTAGTTTGGGCCCTCGAAAAACCCCAGTGCTCCATGGGTTTCAATGCTACAGTAAAATTAGTAATGTTTTTAAATCAGATTTTTTTTTTTTTCTTTTAATCTCACCAGATCTCCAAAGCAGCATTCGTTCGCTTGTGGAATATTTCTTAAAGCAAGAGCATAATATCCCAATAAAAATATTTTAAAATCTCATTCGCACATGCCATGGAAGGCTGGATTTTTACTATATCCTTTTAGCGGGGTTTAAAAGACCAATATATTGTAGGTTCATAATATGTCTATGTGGGTGGCTTTAATGCATCCATGAAAAGATATCCTTACTGTCAATCCTTCATGTTGGACAGGCTGAAAGAAGGGAATTTGAGAAGCGTGAAGCATCTGGACATCCCTTTAAGTCTGGTGGGATAACTTAAGCATGGTTGGGAAACCCCAAGTTGAAAGATTAGCCAGGAATCCCCCTCCCACATCTTCGCTTTGTCTTTGTCTCCTTAAGTTAGCATTTTAAATCCCCACTCCTTCCATTTACAAGTGGAACAACTGGCCTTTTGAACCCTGCTGGCTCAAGAACTGATGTATGATAGGAAGCATGTCAGCTGAAGATGTCAGCAGGTCTGAGGGATTGTCAGAGCAAGTCAGTTCTGAAAAGATTTACGTGAACATGCTTAATTTGAGGGCCTTCAGAGGTTTCGTTCACATTTAGCACACTGTATGATTTTAAATCTTGCGGACTGTTGTTGGACAAATTGCCCTCTCTCCTTTAACGATGCTGGAGCCCTAAACTGCTGTAAGGGGATTCAACACATCATAAGACAGATAGAGTGAAAGATAGAAGGAAGGGCTCTTGGTTTAATGTAAAACCTCCCTTCCACTTAATTATTTGTTCAAGGAGGGGTGAAAATTGGAGGGAAAATAGTTTAGACGTCATGGGCGATGAACTGGATGAATGGGGCACCAGTTAGTGCAGTAAAACAAAAGAACCTGTGTTCACTGACCCAGACGCTAAACACACAGATATGCGTGTCTGTGTGTTGGTAAGTGGAGAGTCATACACATTAACTCTGTGCTTCTCAAGGCTCGCCAACGTTTTCGTAGGCTTCTAGTGGAAAACAAATATGGAAGTCGGGATGTGTGTTTCACCCTCAAGAAGGTGGAGGATAATGAAACAGACTGAGCAGCCCGCTGAGGCTAATAAAGCTTCATGGCAGCAGAGGTGTGTCTCTTTTACAGACATTACTGTGCACATCACAAACGAGGCCGCAGAGGTTATGAGGGTTACAAGCACAGATGTTTTCTGATTCTAAATACAAGATCTGGGTTTATAGCTTTCAGTGAAGTGGTAAACTGGTTTATTTTGGACCATTTTTGTTTGGATTCTTCATCAAAACTACGCAAATGTGCACATATTGTTATGACAGTCTCTCATGAACCAAACAACCAGCTGACAAATGTATGAACCCACTCCTTTTAGGTCCATAGAAGGGTATTGGAGTACTTTTTTAGGGATCAAGATTAACCATTTCCATTTGTATACAATAAGAACATTTAATCCAAGCGCAGTATTTTGTTCACTCTTCCATTTCAAGATCAGGTTTCCCTTGAGTGTTTTTTCAGAAGCACATTCAATATGGAGTAGTAAAACCTTTTTTTGGCTTTGTTTTGTTGTGTGAGATGAGGGGAGTCATATTCTTCATTCCATGGAGTGTTATAGTATTTACTCATTTAGAGCAGGCCCAAGGGGGAACAAGAGGAAACCAATTTGACCAGAGACATAATTACTAGCAGAGGGAAGGGATGATGGTGGGGTTGTCATGGAGACCAGGCCCATAATGACAGGATGGTTTTGCATCATCAGGAAGAAAAAGCTACTCCGTTTTGTCACGGCGCAAAGACCACATACAGAAAACTATAAACAAGAGCAATACAATGTTCTGTCACTGGATTCCCACACAGAGTTAGAACAGTCAACGCCTCTGGAGTCTCACTGGAAACATACCATAGTTACTCTGACAAGAGTACACTATCACAAAATGCGCACACAATGCAGCTTTTTCCAAACTACTAGCAGCCGAAGCTGCTTTTCAGACAGGAAGTGACCAATGCTAGTAGATGAGAAGAAATAATGGTTTGTTACTCATCAAAAAGTTTGATCAACTTTTTAAGGAAGACACCAAAATAAAATTCAACATTTGCATAAATTATAAATATGTATACCGATTCATTTGTAATGTTAACTCTGTAAAGTTTTAAAATAAGGAGAAGTTTTTGGCCTCCAAATGAAAAGCAGAGTGTTGGAGCACTTTATGTCAGAGGTTACTGTTTGTGATTCAGTTAAACGCTAAGTGTGGAGGAACGTTTGGCTGCAGGCCTCATGTTGGCTCAGAGTTCTGAACAGCTTGGACAGAACAGTGCGGACATACGGTGGTCCAATCACGCAGCCGCTCTGCTCCTTTGTGTGTTCCTGCAGATCTTCAGAATATGTATTGTGCATACCAGTAGAATTTAATTTCAAGAACTTGCAGGCTCATGAATGTCTGTCTAAGAAATGTGTGCCAATTCAGATAATTTATGCAAAATGAGACAAGAAATAATCTGTTTCAGTTCATATATGATTTCATTTATGTAACTATATCTGTATGCAGGCCAGTTTTGAGTTTTTTTCATGTCATTGTATAAAAGTGCAACGTGTTCTTTGCAGTTTGCCAAATCTCTGAAGCACTTTGGAGAGGAAGAACGGAGGATGCAGCCTGACGATTTCTTTGGGATTTTCGACACCTTCTTGCAGTCGTTCAGCGAAGCTCGGCAGGACCTGGAGAACATGCAGCGGCGCAAAGAAGAAGAGGAGCGGAGGGCACGGATGGAAATCATGGTGCGACTAGAAGAATGAACCTCACCACATATCTTCTTTTTGTCCTGTATAAAAACCTTTCCTTTAATTTTTCTCCAGCTGAAGGAGCAGAGGGAGCGAGAACGACGGGCTAAAAAGGGCGGAGCCTCAGACGAGGTCTGTGGAGAGTTTGACGACCTGGTCTCCGCATTGCGCTCCGGTGAGGTCTTCGACAAGGACCTTAACAAATTTAAGCGTAACCGCAAGCGCTCCGTCAACCAGCTTGGTGAGGGTGGCGGTCGGGAAAGAGCGGTCACCAAGGTGAACTACTAAGATGGAGAAAAGAAGGTAGAAAACAAACACTAGAGATCTAAATTCTGCCGTGATGCAGATCTCAATCTTCGGTCATGGCTGCCATCGGGGCAGATGTAAGAAACAGCTGGACTGAACATGTAGTGACACGCATGGACGGCTACGCTGCCTTGAAGGATGCAAAAGACTCCTCTGATTGGTCTTGTTAAGCTAATTCCAACTTGTGTATCTTGACGGTATAGATGGACAGATGGACAGACCACTGTGACACATTGTTCTATGTCATCTGACTGTATCACATGTGCTTCAGGTTCTCCGTGTCTATCACACCACTTTTGTTCCATTTCTGCCTTTCTTTGTAAATGTCCATGGTTCCTCTGTCTGCGCCTTGGTGCTGCTGGCCCCACAGTTTGCTGAGCTGGTCCTTAACCTCAAGGGACAATGGGATCAGATGTAATATTGTACATAGATGCAAGACCAAGAGAAAGGAGTATAAAAGGGCCCGTGAAGCCGAAAGATTGGATTATTTTTCTTTTTCTCGTGAGAAGAGACTTAACAACCACAGAATGAATGAATGTTTGTGAACTACCAATATCTCAACAAGGAAATGAGGTCAACAAATCTCAGAATGCTTTGGTAGCTTCTCAAATGAGAAGAATGCACAATGTGGGGTGTGCTTATTGCCTCAATAAAGAGGATTTGTACAAGTGGTTTCCAACTGCACAGTCCCAGTGAGAAGCACGCCAACCACGAGTTCACAAAAAAAAAAAAAAACGTTCTCCTCAAGGATTCATCTCTGTTTGATCCACTCCACTAAACAACGATTGTGCCACATGGATTAAGCCTCACCTACACTCCTAGATGGTTTCAAATCCACACTGGCATTAAGCTGTGCCAAAGCTGAGAGAAAACAACTGTAAACTTATTCATACAGAATATCCAGCAATTAGACATTGTTATAAATATGTAGATGCAGACGAGCTAATTGCTAAAAAGATGTAGAAGGTTTTTGTTTTTTGCTTTGGGATTTTGTACACATGATGCATTCTTTGTTGGTGTTGCAAGTTCACATTGCTGTTGAAGTGAATTTCTATACATTCTTCATTCATTACTTATGAGCGATATTTGCTTGTCCCTTTTCACAACCTTTGTGTTTTGTTTGCACTGTGGCTTTTCTGACAGATGTCACTCATAAAAATACAAAAGCCAACTAAAGCTGATGAAGGAATGCCATAAAACAGATCTAAACTTTAAGGACTCACTCTTCATTTAGTTTACAAAAGGCTCCTTGCTTTGCTGTCATTCACTAAAACTTTTCTCCGATTGGTTTTGCTTCTTTAGCTTCAATCATCGTGTCTGTAGGAATAATCATTTAGCCTCGGTGTTATTTTAGTTGCCATTGTCAAATCACATCACGTGATGAGGCTGTTTATTTTTGTAACATGAAAGTACTACATGACATTTTTCCCTTAATGTCATTGTGAACATTAACTAACCTCTGAGAGAGTATCACTGGAAAAAAGAAAAAAAATCTAAATATTCTTCTATTCTTGCAGCTTTTCTTTATTTTTAATAACCGGTTGCCAAAAATCTCACAAGCCAGAATCAATTTTCATAAAATTGAATGTGTAATTTTTTGTAGAATTTGTAAATGCATTTCCAAAATCTAAGTAGCAGGTATGATGGTATATTGGTGCGTAAAATATTCTAAGAATCTATTGTTTTTCTTCTAATGATCCTTCAGCTGTCAGGAGTTGGAGAACAAGACATAATTCAGGAGATGAGGATGTGAATATACAACTCTATGGAGATAAAACATTGTTAAAAAACAAAACAAAACAAAAAACCACCTTTAATTGGTAATTGCAGACAAATGAGAAATGTCCCAGACTGCACAGTTTAGGGTAGAAGAAGTTGTTAGAGTATTTTACTCTATCTATTGATCGTTTAAACTTATACTCA